GCAGTTGAGCCCACCCAGGGAACTGGCAGGAGACATGCCCATTTGTGCCTCCAGAGCCAGGGCTGCAGACTTCAATCTTGGCTGTGAAACCTGAAACAGACTTGGGGCTCAGTTCCAGCCCCTCTCAGCCATGATCCAGGCCAGTCTTGCAACCCAGGGGCCCATCCATTGACCAGGCAGGAACTCTCCCAGGGACCTGGCAGGAGCCACACCCGTCCTACACTAACACAAAACATTTAGCTTTTCGAAGTAAATATATATGCACCCAACATAAGAGCACCTAAATATTTAAAGCAAATACTAACAAAACTGAAGGGAGAAATAGACAACAATATAATAATAGTAAGGGACTTCAATACCACCCTTTCAACAATGGATAGATCATCTAGGGAGAAAATTAAAGACATAGTGCACCTGAATAACACTACAGACTAAATGGACCTAACAGACATATGCAGAACATTCCATCCAACAGCACCAGAATACACTTTCTTCTCAAGTGCACACAGAATATTCTCTGGGATATCATATGTAGGGCCACCAAGCAAGCCTTAACAAACATAAGAAGACTGAAATCACATCAAGTATCTTTTCTGACCACAATGGTATGAAACTAGAAATCAATAACAGGAGGAAAACTGGAGAATTCATAACTATGTGGAATTTAAACAACACACTCCTGAACAACCAGTGGGTCAAAGAAGAAATCAAAAGAGAAATCAGAAAATATCTTGAGATAAATAAAAATGAAAACACATCATACCAAAACTTATGGAATGCAGCAAAAGCAACTCTAAGAGGGAAGGGTATAACAATAAATTCCCACATTAAGAAGAAAGAAAGATCTCAAGTAAACAACCTAACTTCACAACTTAAGGAATTAGAAAAAGAAGAACACACTAAGCCCAAGGTTAGAAGAAGGAAGGAAATAACAAAGATCAGAGCAGAAATAAATGAAGTAGAAATTAGAAAGGCAAAAGAAAAAAATTGACAAAACTAAGAGTAGTTTTTTTTAAAAGATAAACAAAATTGATGAAACTTTAGCTAGGCTAACCAAGAAAAGCAGAGAGAAGACTCAAATAAATAAAATTATAAATGAAAGAGGAGACATTACAACTAATACCACAGAAATACAAAGGGAAATAAGAGACTACTATGATCAACTAATCACCAACAAATTGGATAACCTAGAATAAATGTATAAATTCCCAGAAACATACAACCTACCAAGATTGAATTATGAAGAAACAGAAAATTGAACAGGTCAATAAAGACTAAGGAGATTGAATCAATAACTAAAAACCTCCCAACAAAGAGAAGTACAGGACTAGATGGCTTCACTGATGAATTCTGCCAAACACTTAAGAACTAATGTCAATCCTTCTCAAACCCTTCCAAAAAATAGAAGAGGAGGGAGTACTTCCAAACTCATTTTATGAGGCCAGCATCATCTGATACCAAAGCAAGACAAGGGCACCATGAAAATAAAAACTATAGGCCAATAGCCCTGATGAATATAGATGCAAAAATTCTCAATAAAGTAATGGCAAACCAAATTTAAAATCTCATTAAAAAGAATCATATACCGTGATCAAGTGGAATTTATCCCGGGGATGCAAATGTTGTTCAATATATGCAAATCAATAAATGTGAGACACCACATTAATAGAATGAAGGATAAAAATTATATGATTCTTTCAATAGAAGCAGAAAAAATGTTTGACAAAATTCAACACCCTTTCGTGAAAAAAGCTCTCAAAAATTTGGTATAGAAGAAATATACCTCAACACAATAAAGGCTGTATACGACACTGCTAATATCATACTCAATGGTGAAAAGCTGAAAGCTTTTGCCCTAAAATCAAAAACAAGACAACAATACCCACTCCCACCACTCTTATTCAACGTAGTACTGGAAGTCCTAGCCAGAGAAATTAGGCAAGAAAAAGAAATAAAATGCATCCAAAAGAAAAGGAAGAAGTAAAATTGTCTCTGTTTGCAGATGACATGATCTTATATATAGAAAACTCTAAAAACTCCACCAAAAACTGTTAGAAATAATAAATAAAATCAGTAAGATTGTAGGGTACAGAATCAACATACATAAATAAGTTGTGCTTCTATACACTAACAATGAGATATCTGAAAGAGAAATAAAGAAAATAATGCCGTTTATAATAGCATCAAAAACAATATAATACTTAGGAATAAATTTAACCAAGGAGAAGAAAGATCTGTATACTGAAAACTATGAGACTTTGATGAAAGAAATTGAAGAAGACACAAATAAACGGAAAGATATTCCATGTTTATGGGTTGGAAGAATTAATATTGTTACAATTTCCATTCTACCCAAAGAGATCTACAGATTCAGTGCAATCCCTATCAAAATTCCAATGGCATTTTTCACAGATAGAAAAAACAATCCTAAAATTCATATGGAACCACAAAAGACCCCAAACAGCCAAAGAAAGCAATCTTGAGAAAGAAAAACAAAGCTGGAAGCATCATGCTGCTTGCTTTCAAACCACACTACCAAGCTCTAGTAATCAAAACAATATTATACTGGCATAAAAACAGACTCCTAGACCAATGGAATAGAATCAAGAGCCTGAAAATAAACCCATGCATATACGGTCAACAAATATTTGACAAGGAGTCAAGAATACTTGAGGAGGAAAATATTGCCTTTTCAATAAAGGGTGTTGGGAAAACTGCATGTTCACATGTAAAAGAATGAAATTGGACCCTTATCTTACACTACTCACAAATATTAACTCAAAATTGACTAAAGACTTAAATGTAAGACCTGAAACCATAAAACTCCTAGAAGAAAACATAGGGAAAATCTCCTTGACATTGGTTTTGGCAGTTTTTTGGATGTGACACCAAAAGCGCAAGCAACAAAAACAAAAATCAACAAGTGGGACTACATCAAACTAAAAAGCTCTACACAGTAAAGGAAACAATCAACGAAATGAAGAGGCATCCTATGAAATGGGACAAAATATTCACAAACCGTATATCTGATAAGGGGTTGTTAGCCAAAATATATAAGGAACTCATGCAACTCAATAGACGAAAACAAAACAAAAAAAAAACAAAACAACAAACTAATCTGATTAAAAGAATAGACAGAGGACTTCTTTTCCAAAGAAGATATACAAAAGGCCCACAGGTAGAGGAAAAGTTGCTCAACATCACTAATCATCAGGGAAATGCAAATCAAAACCACAATGAGATATCACCTCACAAAAAGGTGTCTTATCTTGTCTTATCAAAAAGACAAGAGATAACTAGTATTGGCGAGGATGTTGAGAAAAGGGAACGCTTGTACACTGTTGGTGGGAATGTAAACTGGTACAGCCACTATGGAAAATGGTACGGAAGTTCCTCAAAAAAATAAAAAATACAACTACCACATGTTCTATGACAGCAATCCCACCTCTGGGTATATATCTGAAGGAAATAAAACCACTGTCTCAAAGAGATATCTGTCCGCCTGTTAACTGCAGCATTAGTCACAACAGCTAAGACGTGGAAACAAGCTAAGTGTCCATTGATGGATGATTGGACAAAAAAAAAAATTTTTTTTATATATGTATAAAATGTGATATTATCCAACTATAAAAGAGAAGGAAATCCTGCCATTTGGGACAACATGGATTGACCTCGAGGGCGTTATGCTAACTGAAATAAGTCAGACAAAGAAAGACAAATACTGTATGATCTCACTTACATATGGAATCTTAAAAATCCAAGCTCATGGAAACAGAGAGTAGGATGGTGGTTTCCAGGGGCTAGTGGTGGGGGAAATGGGGTCATGTTGATCAAAAGTTATGAACTTCTAGTTATAAGATGCATAAGTTCTGGGTATCTAATATATAGCATGGTGTCTATAGTTAACAATACTGTAGCATATACTTGAAAGTTGCTAAAAGAGTGAATTTTAAATGTTTTCATCACACACACAAAAAATTCTAATTATGTGAGGTGATAGATGTGTTAACTAACCTTATTGTGGTAATCGTTTCTCAATATATATAGGTATCAAATCATCAGATTGTAAACCTTACAATACAAACCTTACGTACAATGTTGTACGTAAATTACACCTCAATAAAGCTGGAAAAAGAAAAAGAAAAAGAAAGTTAGTGCTTGTTGTATCCTGTTTAAGAAGTCTTTGTCAACTCAAGGTCATAAAGATATTATCCTATACTAACATCTAGAAACTTCATTGCTTTATCTTTTACATTTGAATCTATAATCTTTCTGTATTGGATTTTTGTGTGTGGTGTGAGGAATCATTAGATCATCAATTTTTTCCGTATGGTTATCCAATTGATCCAGCACTACTTATCAGGCCGCCCTTCTCAACTGCAGTGTGCTGGCACCTGTATTGTAAATTGTATATGCATGGATTTGTTACTTGATTCTCTATTTTGTAATAGTCCTCTATTCTTAAACAAATATCACTTGGTTTTAATTACTTTAATTTTATTACAAGCCTTGGTGTCTGGATAGTATGTCTTCCAATGTTCTTCAAGATGCTTTAGCTAATTTTGGCCCATTAAAATTCTAATTTTAGAATTCTCTTGTCAAATTTCTAAAAAAAGAAATGCTGCTTGGACTTTCATTTTGATTGTATTATCTCTAATGATCAAATGGGGAGAATTGGTATTTTTACGACAGTTAGTCTTATACTATCTGAACATGACCTATCACTTCTTTTATTTAGGTCTTCAATTTTGTTTAGTGACATTTTTAAATTTTCTGTGTAGATATCTTGCACGTCTTTCATTAGGTTTAAACCTAGGTATTTAATTTTTTGATGCTTGTTGTAGTGTAATCCATGACAGTTGGCTTTTCTTTTTTGTAATGCAAGTGTCTGACTTCAGCTTTTATTGCAGAGGCATCCACTTCAAAGAGGGCTATCTCGAATAATCGAATAATCGCATTGCCAGCCCCAGGACTAGATAAAGAACCAGGCCATCCCCCACCCCCAACCCTTTGTTTTAGAGATCTTCGTTGATTTTGAGATAACTGACCATTTGGGCCACCTGTTTTTTCTTTTCCTGTGCTTTAAATTCCCACTCTTTATGTTCTAAATTCACCAATAAAGAGTGAGCTGGCAAAATCCTAGGTCCCCACCCTTGACTCCAATAAAAGGAGAACCCCAGGCCTGTGCATGCTCTCTCTCTCTCTCATTCTACCTGTGACCTCTACCCTTCTACGGTTCTTCTTCTCTCATTCTCGCTGTGCCCCAGCTGTGACGTGTGCTTTCCAGGACCTGTGAGCACTAAATCTTTTTTTTTTTCCCAAAGTTTCCTGATGTTTGTTGTTGAAGGGCATCTTGCAATCATAATAAGAACCACATGGGCTGGTCCAGCCACAACATTGGTTATTGATAGGCTGAGACTGGCACAGAACATTTGTAAATGAAATATTTTTTAAAATTTCATTTCCAAATATTTGTTCTAAACATACAGGTATACAATTAATTTTTATATATTGACCCAAAGATATTACTAAAGTTCTTTTATCTAAAGATTCCTTTCAATTTGCAATATGTCACGTGTGAATAATGACAGTTTTATTTATTATTTTTTAATCTTTATAATTTTATTTCTTTTCTTGCCTTATTGTATTGGCTAGAACTTCCAGGACAATATTAAAAAGAAGTGGTGATAACAAAGATTATCTCATACTTATTCTCAAGAGGGAAACTTTCAACATTCATTGAAGGAGATTGTGTTTGTTTGTTTTTTAAATATGCTTCCATTTCTATTTGCTAAGAGATTCTTTTTTGAAAATCATGAGTGGGTTTTGACTTTGTCAAATGCTTTTCTTAATCTAATTTCATGATTATATGCTTTTCTCATTTATTCTGTTAATTCTAATAATAGTCTGTTAATTTCTCTCATTCTGTAATGGGAATTAGATTGATTTTTTTATATCCATTTTATTGAGGAACAATTTACATATTATAAAATATATTCATTTTCAGTGTACATTTCTATGAGTTCTGACAGATTTATACCCCCATGTAACCAACACCATAATAAAAATATGTAATGTTTCTTTCACTCCTTTTCCCTGTCAATTTCCCCCAACCTGAGCCTCAAGCAATCACTGATCTGTTTTCTGTCACTATAGAGTAGATTTATCCTTTCTAGAGTTTCATATAATGGAATTATATATGTACTCTTGTGTCTGGAATCTTTTTCTCAGCATAATGTTTTTGAGATTCATCTTTTTTGTTGGCTGTATCAGCAGTTCATTCTCTTTTTATTGCTGGATGATAGTGCATTGTATAAATATAGTACAGTTTGTTTATCTGTTCACCTGTTGATGAATATTTGCAGTTTTGAGCTATTATGAACAAGAATAGAAAGGACTTAAAAAAATTATGGTTTCCAAGGCAACAGTAATTCAACATTCCTATGCTTACAGAACTACCAATAATATAAAAATGTTTCTCAATATACTTTCTTTCAAAGTACAGAAAATTACTCTAGAACGATTACTGCTAGAATAGAAGTTTCATGAGGACAGGGACTGCAGTCTGTTCTGTTCACTGCTGTATATTAAGTGCTTATAACACAATAGGGGTTCATTAGATATTGAATGAATTAATGAAATTACTTTGAAGAATTTTGAATTTGTTTTCTTGTCTCAAATTCATATTCTATCTCAAAGTTAAATCAGTGCATTTTATTTTATAGTTTTAAAAGAAAAAATATAAAAGGAAGAGTGTTTAGAATTGCATATATAACCCACTCTACCTTAAATTTATTTTATTTTATTTTATTTTTATGGAAGGGCCAGGGATGAGAATTTTTAATTTCAATATTCCTAGGTTAAAACTTTTCCTGAGTGATTAACTTTCTGAATATTATTGATTTATTGAAATTAATTTTATTCATTTATTATTGTCAATGCAATCTCTCTAGGCCAGAGTAATTTTAAGTCCACGTGTATTTATCTTCTTAGGCATGCCATCTTTTTTTACTATTATGCATATTTAAATCTGGGAAAATATCAAAAATCTCAGCTTATAGCAAACATATTCAAAGTTTCCAAAGGTATAAAGATAAAAATCAAGAACAAGAATAGAAAGAGGAGAGAGAGTCTATTCAATTTATCTTTAGCCATTGTCTGATTTCTTCATGCCTTCTAGGCTCTGGGTGTACAAAATAGAGTTTTAAACAGATATGTTCATATGAGATATAATGATTTTCCTCAGGTGATGCAAATTGATTGGAAATGCAATTTTTTTTTTCATAATGTGTCCATGAGTGTGTGTGTGTGTTGTGGCCTTAGGAAAATGACTAAATGAGGTTTCTTTCTTTAGATTCGATTCAATTGAATGAATAAATTTCCATTGAATTTTTTAAATTAAATTTTTAATTTTGAGATAATTGTAGATTCATATGTGGTTGTAAGAAATAACAAAGATCCTGTGTACCCTTACCAAGTTTCCCCCAATAGTAACATCTTGAAAAACCATAATAAAGTATCACAACCAGGATACTGACATCGATACAGTCAAGACACAGAACATTTACATCACCACCAAGATCCTTCATGTCACTTTTTTGTAGCCACATCCACTTGCCTTCTACTCCCACCCACACCTTAACCCTAGCAACCACTAATCCGTTCTCTATTACTATAGTCTTGTCATTTCAAGAATGTTATATGAATGAAATCACAAAGTATGTAACCTTTTGGGACTGACTTTTTTCACTCAGCATAATTCTCTAGAGATTCACCCAAGTTGTTGCATGTATCAATAGTTCATTCCTTTTTATTGCCAAGTAGAATTATATGATATGATTGTACAACAGTTTGTTTAACTGTTCAACCATTGAAGAACATCTAGATTATTTCAGTTTTTGGTTATTATAAATAAAACTGCAATAAACATTTGTATACAGGTTTTGCTTGAACATTAAGTCTTCATTTCTCTGGGATAAATGCCCAGAAGTGCAATTGCTGGGTCATATGGTAGTTGCACGTTTAGTTTTTAAAGAAATTGCCAAACCATTTGCCGGAGAAGCTGTACTATTTTACATTTCCACCAGAAATGTATGAATGATCCAATTTCTCTACAACCTCACTAACACTGATGTCACACTTTCTTATTTTAGCCATTATAAAAAGTGAGTAATAGTATCTCATTGTGGTTTTAATTTGCTGTTCCTTAGTTGCTAGTGATTTGAACAACTTTTCACGTGCTTATTTGTTATCTTTGTATCTTCTTCGATGAAATGTCTCTTCATATCTTTTGCCCGTGTCTAATTGGATTGTTTCCTTTTTCCCCACTTTTTGAGTTTTGCAAGTTTGTTCATTTCAAATTCCTCTTTTTTTTGATGGTATATTGAGTTTTGTATATTAACCTTGTATCTTGTGACTTTGCAATAGTTACTAGTTAGATCTAGGAGTTTGGTTTTGTTTTTTGGCAGGAGAGTCTATGTGATTTTCCATGTAAAAAAACAGGTCATCTGCAAGCAGACAGTTTTATTTCTTCCTTCTCAATATATAATACATTTTATTTCCTTATTCTTGTCTTATTATGTTAGGTTAGGACTTTCAGTGTGATGTAGAATAGGAGTGGTGAGAGGGACCATTCTTGCCTTGTTAATGACCTCAGGGAGAAAGAGTCCAGTTTCTCACCCTTATGTATGATAGCTGTAGACTTTTTATGCTCTTTATGCATAAAATGTTCTTTATCAAGTTGAGGAATTCCATTCCCCCATTCCTAGCTGTCTAACAGGTTTTTTTTGTTGTTGTTGTTGTTTTTAATTATGAATGGGTGTTGGATTTTACCATATGCTTTTCTGCATCAATTGATATGACCATATGATTTTGCTTCTTTAGCCTCTTGATGTGGTGGATTACATGAATTGATTTTTGAATGCTGAATCAGCCTCGAATATTTGGAATAAATACCACTTGGTTGTGCTGTATAATTCTTTTTAAACATTGTTGGATTTTATTAGCTACAGTTTTGATGAGGATTTTGCATTTTTGTTCATGAGAGATATTGGTCTGTAGTTTTCCTTTCCTGTAATATCTTTAACAAATTTTAGTATTAGGGTAATACTGGCACTATAGAATGAGTTAAGAAGTGTTCCTTCTGCTTCTATTTTTTTTGGAAGAGATTATGGAGAATTTATATCACTTATTCTTTAAACGTTTTGTAGAATTTACCAGTGAAATCAAAGAGTGGTGCTTTATTTTTTGAAAAGTGATTAATTATTGATTCAATTTCTTTGTTAGATATAATCTTATTCAGATTGTCTCTCTCCTTTGTAAGTTTTGGTAGTCTGTGTCTTTCAAGGAATTAGTCCATTTCATCTGAGTTACCAAGTTTGTGGGCATAGAGTTGTTCATAATATTCCTTTATTATCCTTTTAATGTCTTTATTAGATCGGAAGTGATGACCTCTCTTTTTCTTTTAAAAAGAGTCTCTCTCTCTCTTTTTTTTTTTGCAGGAAAAGAGTCACCCTGAGCTAACATTTGTTGCCAATTTTCCTCTTTTTTCTTTTTCCTCCCCAAAGCCCCAGTGCATGGTTGTATGAAAACATGGACACTGAAATTAAAAATACAATACTATTTACATTTGCTCAAAAGAAAACAAAAGAAACATTTAGGTGTAAATCTAACAAAACCCATACAGGACTCGCCTGCTGATAGCCACAACAGACAGTGTTACATTTTTATTCCAACTGTCAAACACAATTTTAAAAACTGAAGAAAAGAAAAAAATCTATTGTAGTTACCTATATTTTTCTACCATGTTTTTTCTTTCCTCCCAATGTTCCAATCTTCCTTATTTTATTGTTTCCTTTCTGTTTATAGAACTTCCTTTTACCATGCTTTTCTCGTTGAAGCTTCTGAGACCACCTTGATTTCTCTTTCATTTCTTTAGGATGTTTTGCTAGGTGTAGGATTCTGGGTTGACTGTTCTTTTTTTCAGCACTTGAATAATATTGCACCACTTCCTTTTGGCCTTCATGGTCTCTGATAAGAAATCTGCTAACATGCAAATTGTTTTTCCCCTATAGATAAGATATTATTTTCCTCGGGCTATCAAGATTTTTTTCTTTGTCTTTAGTTTTCAGAAGTTTAATTGTGATGTGTTCTGGGAGTTGTTTACTTTGAGTTTATCCTGTTCAGG